GGGGCAGCTGCACAGCTGGCTGCTCTGCACCAGCTTTGATCTGGGCTCCCATGGTGTGCTGTGCAGCAGAGCTGCACGCGCAGGTCAAGCAAGCAGGGCCAGCCCTGTCCTCAGGCTGTAGGCACACCCAGCAGCTGCAAGGCTCATCAAAAAATACATCAGAGATGTGAACAATGTGTCTCTTACAAAGTTTGGGACATGCCCCACCAGGCTTGGAGCCAGGGGGATGGGGTAGGGTCTGTGCTCTCTGCAGCCCGCTTCTTGCTCAGCTTCTTTAGAGGGACCTCCAGGACCTACTTTTGTCTCTAAGGCTGCCTCCTTGGTAGGAAAAGAGGCCCTGACTCCAATTTTGGTTTTGAACATATTTGGCAAAGTCTAGCCCCATGGCCATGCAGCACCATGCCCCTCCTCAGAAAGGGGGTCACGTTTGGACCTGCTGTTGGGTGTGCTCCCGAGCACCATCCCAGGGTGCCCCCCCACCACCAGGTGCTCACTACAGCTCCTTCCTTCCCTCAGTTCATTTGGACCCCGAAAAGGTCTTCGAGGAGCTGAAGGAAAAGAAGGATGAGTTAGACAAGGTAAGCACCCATGAAGCAATGTTCGCCAGTCGGGGTCCCCAGTGGACATCCCTGGAGGATGGACACATGCCATTTCAGGCCCTAACCCGACCTTCCCTCTGCAGCTTGGCATCGCCAACGTCACCTTCCACAGTGAGCAGCTGGCAGAGGAGATCAAGGATAGATTCAGCACGCCTCTGATCATCACCATCATCACCCTGGCCGGCTCCCTGCTGCTCATTGCTACCATCTATGGCTGGTGCCACCAGCGCTTCTCCCACAAGAAGGACCAGGTAAGCTCTGCCGGCCAGTGCCTCCCATCAATGGCCAATGAGCCCCACTGGGCAAAGGGGATTTAGGAAACTAGGAGTCAGAGGAGAGGGGAGGGCTGGGATGGTCTGGCTGCCAGTGGGAAGGGGTGGGAAGCAGCTGTACCCCAAGATATCTTTGCCCCAAGATATCTTTGCCCCAAAGGTGACTTCAGGAGCTGAAGAGCTTCAGCATTTCCACCTCTCCTGGCAGAGATGTCCACCCTTCAGGTTGACACCACCCACGATGAGCTGTCGGGTGACGGACTGTATCTGCAGGGCGAGATTGCAGCAGGATAAGCTGATTTCCCAGAGCTGCTAGCGCTTCTGAGCGGCAGTAGCTGCCCACGGGGCTGTCAAGGGAAAGCAGCAAGGGCAAAGAGCTCGGGAACACAGGGCTGGTGGTGTTGGGGCACAGAGATGAGTGGCATCTGTTCCTCCCAGAGTGCCAGACCACCCAGTGGTGACCAGTATCCTCCAGTCAAGGTGTAATTTTGATGAGAAAGGCTTTTTCCCCCAGTGAAAGAGGTGGCTCTCAAAATTATTCCAAATCGCACAGTTCCTGCCAGATTTTTGGCTTTTTTTTTTTCCCTGAGGGTTTTTCTCAACCCAAAGATCCTCAGACCCATCTACTATCCTCCCAGTGGAAAGATCTCCCCCTTCCCCCCAAAAGTCATCTCAAAAGTACTTTTTGGAAAGTAATCAAGTGCTGGTGGGCTCTGCGAGCTCACCCTGCCCATAACAATCAAAGCAGTATCAGGAGAGGGTAGATGCGGAGAAGAGGAAATCCCGGCTTGCCTGACCCATGCCCCGATGGCGCAGAGGACGCCTGCATCTTCTGAACTGGCGGGGTCCATGCATGCCACCACCGTAGGGGTCTGGAGGATGGAGCCACCCAAGAGGGTCCTGGCGGGCTCCCTGGCTGGCTCCGGGAAACGGAGATCCCGAGGGAGGGTTGCAGAGGAGCAGGACAGCCACGGGAGGGCATCGTCCTCAGCAGCAGGGCTGGCCCTGCTGCAATTTTTAAACCCCTTAGCCCAGCTCTGCAAGGAAACCTGCCGCTCTGCCTCCGTGCAGCAGCGCGTCGCAAGCCTTAGGAGGGCGGCAGCATCCCAGCTTCAGCCCGGGCGGGCTGGCCGGAGCATCAGTTTAAGGAAAGAGGCACCGTGAGCTAATAGTGTTGTTCCAGCCCTGAGGAAGCATGATTTTAGCTTAGCATCCACCCGTTAAAAAAAAAGATGGGCTGGGGGCTCAGTAGGCGCCTGCTCTGGCCGTTCCCACGCTCCTCGCCAGCCGCGGGAGACCTCCGGGGCGAACCCCGAGGTT